GAGGAGGATTTGATGCAAAAGTAAAGGCAGAGATTAGCGAAGCAAGGACAGCATTCCTACAGTTGAAGAAATTATGGAACTCAAAACAACTGTCAGTCAACATCGAAGAATTTTCAATATGAACGTCAAGACAGTTCTACTATACGGAGATGAAACTTGGAGAACTACCACAACCATCATCAAAAAGGTACAAGTACTTATAAACAATTGTCTAGGCAAGATACTTCGGATAGGACGTATATTGAGGAAATCATCAAACTGCATCACAAGGCAAGCCCTAACCTGGGATACTTAAACATAAAAGAAAAGAGGAAAACTAAGGAACGCACTGCTCCGGGAATTAGAAGCAGACATTAAAGGAATGAATAGCAACTGCAAAGGATTGACCAGGGCACAGTTCAATGGAGAATGCTGGTGGGTGGCCTATGCTCCTCAATGAAGAATAACAGCCGTAAGTAATTAAGTTAAGTGTAAAATCTCGTCCAAGGAGATAATTATATTCTTTGTATTATTTTGTGTGTACTTTGTGGCAACTCTGTATATCTTTTCATTTACATGATATGTACTAACCATTCATGAACCAAGTGTAGAATAAATATAGAAATGAGTGTATTTAGTTTAATGATTATTTAAATGAGTGATTTTAAAGAGTCGATATGTCTCCATTTATATCAGTGTCTTAGCGTCATAGGAATTGTAGTGGTTCCCGTTCTCAAGCATAAATAGAAGGATCGCGTATGAAATAGAGCTGAGAAGAGTCAACATGGTTAAAACAGGGGCATCGAATACATATGCGCCACATAAGTCACTTGTTTCATGTGTGTACTGTGATACTGCCCGGGTGCACAAACAGAAACAAGTGGTTTTCTTAGGGGGCCATAACCAGATCCTCCGACCTAAAGGTCTGATCCACAATGCAGTGGAGCAACGTCAGGAGATGCTGTCTCATGATAGCCAGTGACCAACGATTGGTTCATACACCATTTGCTTCTTCAGCATCCTGGATACCATGTACATCATTGGCTTAGAATTAGGGTTTTCCAACTTCCCTAGGGGGACTCTCCGTGTCCATCGACCCAGTTAAAGCATCGGGGCGTTCGTTTTGGTCCTCTTAACTTCGTAAGCAACACCCCTGCCTAGAGTAGGACTTTCTTGGTGCTGGCTGTATACATGTGTCTATGTGAGAGTATTTCGAGAGGGAGCGATTACAGTACTTCGTGAATTAATTGTCATCTTATCAAATTTGTGTGAAGGCTCTGATACTGCCAGGGGGTCCAAACCGGAGCGGTGGTTTTCTTAGGGGGCGTTGGACGACTCTGTGTTTGATCACCGTTGTCTCCGACGGATTCCTGACACCCAGGAGCAACACTATTTTAGTAATGAAGAGGTTCGGCATCGTGTGTTCGGGAGCAGAGACGATAATCCAATTGGTGTCACTATCTTGAGACATAGACTTCGGTGGCTTGGACATATTCTACGAATGTCGTCCCAGAGAATTCCACGTAGTGCATTATTTGCCGACTCTGGGACTGGTTGGAAAAATCGGAGAGGTGGTCACTGTATGACATGGTGTCATGGTATGAAAGAAAACTGCACAGGACTAGCTTCTGTTGGTTCTTCACAACTCCCTGATCGGGGTCCTAGAGATGCTGCAACACAGTGGCTAGAGACGTAATTAGATATGGATCAGCATAGAAGCCAATGGTGATCCTGATGTGACCTTCGTTTACTTTTTTCATAAAAAGTGACCGTAACTTCTTTAACTGAAAGAATTCTTTCTGGTTGTACCTTTTTGTTTCCTACATTATTATTATTGTTATTATTATTATCATTGCACTACCATACACTAATTCGTGGTCGTTATTGTTCTATTTTTTCTTTTACACGCACCTTACATTCTTTATCTCTTCCTATTCTCATTATTATTGTGTGGCACATATGTATCTGGTGCCCCCTTGTACCAATATTTATCTGTTCAAATAAATAAACAAATTTCGAGAGAGAGAGAGAGGTGACTCTCCCTACCCTCAGTCGTACCAGGGCATTTGAGAGTCTCAGTGAGGACGAGGATTAGGTTCGAATCCACATGAGAAAATCCTGGAAGCCTCAAAGAATTTCTACTCATCGCGAATGTACTGATTATTGTATTAATATAGTCACCATATGATACTAAAAGTGTGATCGATGTGTCGTGAATACTATCTATACATCAAAACAATCTTCGGAATACCGCTTTAAATCCAATAACATACACAGTGAAAACGAAAAGGATACATATATATATATATATATATATATATATATATATGCACAAACACGACAACTTACCGTGCCATCTCAATATTCAAACCAATAATGATCGCTCTAATCCTTATCATAGCTGATGCAATAATTGCAGTGAAACGAATCTCTGGTATACTAACATTTCCACTAACATGACTAAATGATGATGTTGGCAAATCAATCCGATTAGTATTCATACTTAATAGATCATTTTCATTTAACATATTCATCATAATCATAATATTATTATCTGGTTGATATTGATTCAATGAAATTATTGATCTTGTATCAATATTATAATTATTTTCTAAATTCATTAAACTACTACTATTACTAGATGGTTGTAGTAGTATCGCATAGACTGGTATTAATCTATTGGATAAATCCATTAAATAATCAATTAATATGACATAATCATCATTGAATTGTTCTAGATTGAATTCCATTGGAAAAGAACGTTTTCTAGTGTTACTTGACAATGGTTTAGATAGATCAATAATCGATAATGATGAAGTAACATCATTTTGTTGTATTGATGAATTAGATAATAAATTGATAATTGAATTTAATGAATCCAATAAATAATTGACATTGATTTGATGATGATCACTTGTGAATGATTGAAGCAATTTAAATGTATTCGAACATAATCGAGATACATAAATAGATTCATATTTTGTCTTACCAGAGAATAAATGATTTATCTAAGAAAGAAAACATTGAATAAACAATATGATTAGCTCTCTAAATGCAAGTTGTTGCTTCAGGATTGGTCTATGTCAACACCTGAATTAAGGATAGGGAGTGAAGTAGTCGAACGCTTGACAACTTCACTTATCTTGGAAGTCTGATCAGCCCTAATGGGTTGGTGTCTGACAAAATCTCAGCACGGATTCGAAAAGCTCGTTTGGCTTTTGCCAACTTATGTCACCTGTGGCGAAGACGAGATATCCATCTATCAATTAAAGGACGAGTATACTGCGCGGCAGTCCATTCTGTTTCACTTTACGGCAGCGAAACATGACCATTAAGAGTAGAAGACACTCGCCAGCTACTAGTATTTGACCACAGATGCCTTAGAAATATTGCTGGGATCACCGGGTAAGTAATAGTGAGGTTAGACGCAGAGTATTAGTGAATGATGGTAAATCAGTTGATGAGGTTATGAATCTTCATCGACTGAGATGGTTGGGCCACGTGTTACGTATGCCTGAACACCGATTACTACGACGTGCAATGCTATCCGGTATTGGAGATGGTTGAAAGAAAGTTAGGGCGGCCAAACCAAAACGTGGCATCAGTGCTTGAAGTCACTAACTTGTAGTCTGAGCCATGTTGGTAGATGCAGACTACTTGGTTAGGATTCGCAAGACTATCGTAACCAATGGTCGGAGACTCTGCGTAACATGGCTCAGAATCTATCACAATGGTGTAGGTGTATACACTCTCTGTCTTCCTTTAAACTAAGAAATTAAAATCGCTTCATATCTTTCTTTCTACGAACCAATTCTTTCTTCTTGTATTATATCTCTATATGCAATCTTTCTCTTATATATTACCACTACTGAATTAACTACTTCTATGAATTCTGTGTTCATCTTGTTGTACTAATGAGGTATGGCAACTTGGACCGATGTATATATGTGTCTAGTCCTACGTTCTAGCTGACTGACTAACTCTCTTATTGGCGTACGTAAATCCAGTGTGGATTGTCTGGATATTGAATCAAATCACAAACATTATAAGCAGAGATAGATGGTAGCTAGCAGTATAATCCATGACTCGTCAGATGAATGTTCATGTATCCCAGAGCCGATGTTCACTAAGAGACTTGGAAATGTCAATCAAGTTAAAACGTGTGGTGTAAGAGCATTTAGGTAGAGGGAACAAAATTTTAAGATTCCCGATTGTAAAAAGTCATTTGGAGTCCAAACTATAAGCACATGATTCAAGGTTTGAATCAGTAACTTTTCCTGTTTAGAACATTATCGTTGAGATATTCAAAACCACAAATCTATAGAACTGATATATTTACACCAACTGTTCACTGAGTCGTAATCAACGTTATATTTGTCTAGTCATTAGGGATGGTCGAATCCCATCAATACAGTTGTAATGTGACCACTGGTTTAAGTGACTGGAAAATGAGCGAGACGGAAGGCCCTGGGTTCGAGTCCCGCCTGTGAACTCGTCGATGTGTACTGCTGAGGAGTCCCGTACTAGGGAGAAACAGATGTCCAGTGCTTCCAGGTTTTCAATAGTGGTCTAACATCAATCGATTTATGATTTCAATCAAAAAAATATTAACATTGTATTATTATTATAATTTATTTAAACACATAAACATTGGTACAAGGAGGCACTAAATACATATGCGCCACACAAATATCATTCGATATGTGTGAGGGCTGTGATACTGCCCGGGTGCACAAACCGAAACAAGTGGTTTTCTCAGGGGGCCACGACCGGAGCCTTAGACATAAAGGTCTGATCCACGAGGCAGTGGAGCATCGTAAGGAGATGCAGTCCTATGGTAGACGGTGACCAACGATTAGTTTATGCACCATTTGTTCCCTCAATATACTGGAGCCCATGTGCACCAATGAATTGGTTTGGGATCCAGTTAAAGCGCCGTACATTCGCTTTTCGTACTCTCATTTTCGTAAACAACACCCCCGCCACCAGAAGGCAATGAGTAAAACTCTCCTGGCAGAGGCTGTATACGTGTGGCCGTATAAGAGCATTTCGAGAGGGAGGGCGAACCCACCCCACACTCGGCCATACCAGGGCATTTGGGGGGCATGCCAAAGGATTATTATTAAAGGATTGAAAAAACTATGAAACATTCATATATATTATATAGAAATTAACTACTAACCTTAAGTGAATTACGTACTGCTTTATTTAATAATTTCATAATACGTTCATAAATTGGATGAATTAATTTCTCTTTAAAATTATAATTCAATTGTAAACTCTTATCCATAGATAATGAAGTTGTTGTTGTTAAGGATGATGACAATGATGTTGATGATGATGAGGAGGATGTGGATGAAGATGATAATGAATTAGCTGATACTAATAACCAACCAATTGTTGTAATTAATATTAACCAATATAATAAATTTTTTAATTTACTATTATGATTTAATTTTTTAATACAATTTATTAAATCATTAAATATAAGATGAGATAATAAAGCATTACGACGTGATTGATATTTATAACACGGTATTCTAATAAATAAATAACAAAGAAATAAACTATAAGTTAATTTAATAATAATAATAATAATATATGAACATTGGTATAAAGAGGCACAGAAATCATTCAACTGATGTGAGAGTTGAAGCACTATCTGGATCACATTCCATGTCTTTCATCTACGGGTATAATCCATAAGACAGTGGAACAACGTAAGGAGACGTAGTCTTATAGTAGCTGATGATCAACAATAGATTGATACATCTTTTGTTCTATCAGGATCCTAGAGCCCATATGTACCATTGATTGGAAATCAGGGTTTTCCAACTTCCCAAGATAAATCGTTCATATACACTAACCTGGTTAAAGTGCCGGATATTTGCTTGTGTTCCTCTCAATTTCGTAAACAAAACCCCCGCCTGGAGTAAGACTTATATGAAAGTGGTTGTATACGTGTGGCTATGTGAGAGTATTTCGAGAAGGAGAGCTCACTCTACCCACTCTCGACTGTACTAGTGCATTTGGGGGCAAAGCGATGATTAAAGTTTTCGACTTTTAACCAATATGTCACAAATTCGAACCCCGCTTTCCAATCGCCTTTGCTTTAGGCAACTGAATATCATTAGTTCTAACACTTGGAGTATGAGGTGGTGGTTGGAGGTAGTCTATATGAAACTTGTTTCATGTAGGTTTTATAGTATTTAATATTCATCAGCGAAGTGTGTGTATAATTTAGAGGAAACTGATGCTCCCTGATGGATTTGAGTCCGTGTCAATCCACTTCACAGTCACAAACGTTACCACTGAGTTATTCGGGTAATGACTGATCTTCTGTAAGACTGAGATGCAATTAAAACTGATTAACCACTGAGAAGTGAACAATCATACTAATCCACCAGTTCCCTCAAGATTACAGGTACACATTATGATGAGTACCAAATAGCATGAACCTAGGTCAAACAGAGTTTCTTATAGACTACTTGCAACCACCACCTTACATCTCAACACAGTGTATGCAATGTCGAGTCTAATCACTCAAACTAGTGAACCACAGTGTAACTTTATTGACGGAATTCTATCGGGACTAAGAAGACATTGACTACTACTCAGTGACTCATTATTCATAAATTTTGAGAGTACTTCAAAGCCAACTATATGAATATGTACCTAGTAAACGAGTTAATAGTAATGCTAAAAATTTATACAAAAGTTTATTAGAAACATTGAAGTGGTTGATCTCATTGACTGCATTACTTATCTCAGAAGTCTAATCAACCTTGTTAGGTTGGTCCTGACGAAATCTCGTCTAAGTTTTGGCAACTTGCGTCATTTGTAGAGTAGGTGAAGTGTCCGTCTGATAAACAAGGGATGAGTATATTAGGTGACTGTTCGCGTTGTAACTTTACTCTACGGTTGTGAAATATAGTCTATGGATGCGAAGGAGATTTGTAAATTACTAGTATTTGATCATAGATGTCTACAAAGCACTGGTGGTGTATGGCGGCAAAAACAAATAAGCAATCCTGAGGTTAGGTTTAAGGTATCAGGTTTATAGGACCGTAAAACTTTATCAACTAAGGTGGCCGGGTAGCATGCGGTACCTATACTCAACTAGTCTAACTAGATGCGTCATGTTATCTGGGGTAGAAATAGATTGGAAACTAGTACTGATCGAAACAACAAGTGGTAACATTTCATAAAATCATGAACTACTGAACTGGATAATATTGAGGGGGATGGCAAACCAAAAATGTAGCATAAAATCGTACAGTTACTGATTAATGGTCGATGCAGACTACCTGGTTAAGGTCCACGCAATAATCGTGATTAGTGGTTGGAGACATTGGGTAACATGGTTAAAAGTCTATAAGAGTAGCGAAATGTATTTGTCTGCTAGACTGCCATTGAAAACCTGGAAACATTGGACGGCCGTTTCATTCTAGTATAGGACTCCTCAGAAGTGTGCATTCACGATGGGACTGGGACGCAGAACCTTCGGTTTTACGTACGAACACTTGACCTTTAGACCACTGAGACGGCATTCAACGATGTTAATGTCTGACTTTAACCGATCTATAATCTTGCGCAACCCTTCATTTATTGCTTGAGGTGGATAACTGTCTCAACTCGAGACGGATTGGACTCCACTGGCCACATCTCACTAAAACTCCAGGAAATTCATCTTAAAACTAGTCACTAGTAAGCTGGATCAATAGTCTAGAAGTTAAGTGTTCGCGCGAGAGACCGACGGTCCTGGGTTCGAGTCCCATGTGCACGATCGTGGATAGCACTGCTGAGGAGTCTTATACAAGAACAGATTTGGCCGTCAGATTTTTGCAGGTTTCCAATAATGGTCTAGCTTAGATCGACTTATGAATCCAACTGTGAGAATATTTAATCTTTCTCACAATAATTGATACCTACAATTATTTTGGTTCTTTTATTATTCAGTTTAATAATTTCATCTTATTACGATGTGATGTGTACTATGACGAACCAGACGACTGCACACGTTTTATTCCAGATTTTATATGGATGATAACCAACCGTATGTCTGAAATACATGATTCATATAGTGGAAGCTGAGATTATATTCTGGACTTAAGTGGGCAGGACTAGAAGAAAAGAACTAATAAAGATTCAAAGTTGGCTCAAGACTCGTCATGCTGGTTAACAACGAGTCATTGGTTCAACACAGTGACAAAATCATATAACTTGGTATTCTGATTGTTAATCTTGTCTAGTGATAATTAACAGCGCTATATAGGATATAACATAAGCGTCCGGATAGCTCAGATAGCTCGGATAGCTCAGTGGTAACGTCTCTGACTGTGAAGCTGGGTGACACGAGATCGAATCCGCCAGGGAGCACCAGTTCCCTCAAGATTACAGGTACACCTTGCTGACGAGTGCCAAGTAGCACGAAACCCGGGTCCAGGGTTTCCTGTTGACTACCTCCAACCACCATCTAATCTCAATACATAGTGCCCGCAGTGTCGAGTCACCTAGACTGGTGGCCACATTGCAACATGATCGATAGCATTCGATCTGCACTAATAAGGACTAGACAAGCATGAGATTGATCACCACCCAGTGATCAATCAATTGTGATTACATCTCAGTCCTACAGGAGGTTAGTCACGGCTCGGATAGCTCAGTGGTAACGTCTCTGACTGTGAAGCTGGGTGACACGAGATCGAATCCGCCAGGGAGCACCAGTTCCCTCAAGATTACAGGTACACCTTGCTGACGAGTGCCAAGTAGCACGAAACCCGGGTCCAGGGTTTCCTGTTGACTACCTCCAACCACCATCTAATAACATAAGCGTTCACGGACGGGACTAAAGGTCTTAGGTTCGAATCTCGGGAAGGCGGGATCGTGAATGCGCACTACCAAGGAGGAGTCCCATAATGGGACAAAACGGTCGTCCTCCACAACCTTATACTGCTGAAAAAAATTTCTTTATTTCAAATTAGAAAATTATTAACTTACTTAAAATGTTGATTATTACATTTTTCTTCTAAATTATTTTGTTTAAATGATAAATAATAACTAGATAATTCATTATGAATCATGATGAACAATTTACAAATACGACATATAGTTGAAGCAATAAATTTATATAAACTACAATGTTCCATAATAGTTGATGCATTCAATGTACCATCAGTAGATAAACATAATTTCTGAAATGTTAAAGTAGATTATATACATATGAAGAAATGGAATAGATTTAAGTGATTTTTCAACTATTTAGAAATAATTTTTATTTACATAAACATTGATACAAGGAGACACCGAATAGATATGCATCACATAAATCATTCGACTTACGTGAGGGCTGAGATACTGTCCAGGTGGTGTCCAGACCGAAACAAGTGGTTTTCTTAGGAGGCTACACCCAGAACCTTCGACATAAAGGTCTAATCCACAAGGTAGTGGAGCAACGTCAAGAGATCCAGTCCTATGGTAGCCAGTGACCAACAATTGATTCCTTTAGGATACTGGAGACCATGTGCACCATTGGTTTGAAATCAGGGTTTTCCTACTCGCCTAGGTGGACTCTCCGTGTCCACTAACCCGGTTAAAGCGCCGGACATTCGCTTTTCATCCTCTCGATTTTGTAAACAACAGTGATGCCGCAAGAATGCAGTAAGTAAGACTTCCCTGCCAGTGGTTGTATGCGCGTGGCTGTTTGAGAGCATTTGGAGTGGGAGAGCTGACTGTTTCCACTCTCAGCCGTACTAGGGCATTAGGGGGCCATTTAGAAATAAAGTTAATTTCAGTAGTGAATACTGGTTAAAAGCTGTTTGTTTTTTATGACACTTATGAACTATTCAGTGAAGGAGGGATTTAACGGTGAACAAGATGATCTCGGATATTGTTAGAAGTATGAGGAAGGTTGTCACATCCTAACCACTCACGCAGTAGAAGGATATTTCTTCTGGAGAGACCTGAGAAAGAAACTGGATTAGTAGTGTTCGTAATGATCTGAGAGGGTGACCGCAGAAGAAGTACTTGATGCTGGTCAAGTACGGCTTTTTTTATGGGACATTCTTGATGTGTTAGCTCCTTACTTCAGGAGGCCTTACCATCGAAGATGAACATCTCTGAGGTAGGATAAGGTGTGACATTATTAGATTCAATCTTCTTAACCCTTTCCTTTCGTTGTGAGAAGGCAGGAAATCACTCCAGATGCTGGTTGTCCAAGAGAAATACCTTCCTACCCCAAACCTCAGCTTTGTGTTACATAGCACCTCTGAACAATGTGTACCTGTAATCATGAGGGAACTGATGCTCCCTGTGTGATTCAAACCCAGATTGCCCAATTTCCCAGAGCGAGATGTCACCATTTAAATATTAGGGTCACAACTGATATCTTGAGGGGGGGTTGAAGTATTTACTATTGATTGATCAAACAATGTCATGCTTGTCTAATAGTCAGTGGTGGTTTAATTTTACTTATCAGGTTGCAATGTAGCCACTAGTTTAACTGACGACATAGAATACACCATCTTGAGATATTAGGACATTGGCAGTAGCCAACCGAAAAAAAACATACCTTATTCGGTAAATCCAGTGAAGAAACATTTTGAAACTCGTCATTTACAACAGTTTTTGGCAATAAAGAAGGTAACAATTCTTGTAGATAAATCTGAAAAGATTAATAAGGAGTAAGTAGTATACAAAATATTTTTAGCAATAAAAATAATGATTTTAATAGTCAATAATTTATTTGAAAACACACTTCCTTATACAATAACTGTATACTTCTCTTAAATCATTCATACAGTTGACCGTGAGCTGCATTCCAAATGTGGGGGGTTAATTATTTATTTAATTATTTTAACACATAGATATTGGTACAAGGAGGCACCAAATACACATGCGCCACACAAATATCATTCGGTATGTGTGAGGGCTGTGATACTGCCCGGGTACCCAAACCGAAGCAGGTGGTTTTCTTAGGGGGCCACTCCCCGAGCCTTCGACTTGAAGGTCTGATCTACAAGGCAGTGGAGCATCGTAAGGAGATGCAGTCCCATGGAAGCCGGTGACCAACAATTGGTTCATACGCCATTTGTTCCCTCAGGATACTGGAGCCCATGTGCACCATTGATTTGGCTTGGGATCCGGTTAAAGCGCCGGACATTCGCTTTTCGTCCTCTCATTTTCGTAAACAACACCCCCGCCACGAGAAGGCAGTGGGTAGGACTTCCATGGCAGAGGCTATATACGCGTGGCCATGTGAGAGCATTTGGAGAGGGAGAGCGGACTCTCCCCACTCTCGGCCGTACCAGGGCATTTGGGGGTTGATAATACTACTCGATTGGTCAAAACACATTAAACAGAGAAGAGATGAAACCTGAGACTAAGTGATGGAAAGTTGAATGCCATAACTACTGAGCCACTATTTCAATCTATGGAATAGTTGTAACTGTAAATAAGATCATTCGCCTGCTGATATTCTACTAGTGTAAGTAAACTATCAAACATTTAAAACCAGAAACTTGTCACTGTCCTACTAGTGTGACTACAGTTAAGTTCCTATGAAAAACTGATCACATTTCCTGAATGCTTTTCAATAACAAGAAATGCTTTTTCCATAAGATAGATTAGTATGAAATGCAGATATTGTTAGGTTACTGATCTATTCTAACCGAGAATTTTCAAGAAATATGAAACAGAATTGCGTAATCCCTGATGTGATGTTTTACATACTGAAACACTACGTTTGTCGAATTGATATTTAACCTATAATCATTTGACATTAATAAATCTTCATACATTAAATCATGAATTGAACACAGCCAGATCATCAGTGAAAACCAGGAAGCACTGAACAATTGTTTTGAACTGATAAGGGACTCAACAGCAGCAGGCATTCACGACCACACCACCTGGAATCGAACGCTTTGCCTATAGACCACTGAAGCAGAATCCAATGGCGTATATGTCTAACACTAATCAACTCACGATATTGCGCAACCCTCTTTTATTGCCGTCCATAACCGTCTCATATCTGACATAGTTGAGCCCTACTAGCCACGAGTCGGATAGGTACTGCAGGTACGTCCCATACCAGAACAAAACAGTTGTCCAATGGTTCCTGGTTTTCAGTGGTAGTATAACGAAGATCAGTATGTAATTTAACCCATGAGAATCTAGCAATCTCTCGACACGTTTATACTGTTAATAAGCCTCACTGAAATCACGAACCGATCTAAGTTAGACCACCATTGAAAACGTGCAAGCATTGAACGGCTATTTCGTCAAAGTAGGAGACTCCTCACCAGCGAGTACCCACATTTCCAAATGTGAGAGTCGAAACCAGAATCTCCAGTTTCGTGAGCGAACACTCAGCCTCTAGATCACTGGGACGAAATCTAACGGTGTTCATATCTAACTTCCATCAATCTATAATATTGCACGACCATACTCCATTGTCTTCGGTGGGTAACTGCCTGACACTCGACACAGATTAGTTCCACTGGTCACGGCTTTTCACTAAAACTCCTTAAATTCCCTCTTAAAGCTCGTCACTAGTGTGTACATGATAATTTTCAGTCTAGTGTTATAGAGATTGTTGAATCTCATTGAAATCATGAATAGATAAATCTGTTTAAAAGGATTCATGTCAGTAACAGTGTAAAAATGAATATATCATATCACCCCTACTCAAAGTTGTAAATTACCTTAGTTGATGCTACATGTCTAGGGAATTTAGCCAGCATACCAGGTATACTAGGTTCAGCATTTAAAACAAGCAATAATACTGTAAGATAAGCTGGATCTTCTTTCACAGGTTCCGGACCATTCAACCATGAATGTGTTCGTAATAGACTGGATAAACAAGTTTCAACAAATATTGGATGATTTCTACCCACAGAAGCAGCACATCTATAAAAATAGGACAAATGTTAATGATCAAGTTAATTAAAGTAATCCATTGTGTGATTGAGTAAAAATAATAAAGAGGATTTTCTTTTCGGTAAAATCATTTACTTCAACTATACATTCGACAGTTGTATAGCATACAAGGAAAAGCATTTTTACAATTGAGGAACATATGGAACCCAAGACAACTGTCAACCAACATCAGAGTTAGAATTTTCAATACAAACGTCAAGACAGTTCTATTGTACGGAGCTGAAACTCGGAGAACTACAATAACTATCATCAAAAATGTCCAAGTACTTATAAACAATTTCTTACACAAAAGGATTGACCAGGACAGAGTTGAATGGGGAAAATCGATGGGTGGCCTATTCTCCTTCACGAGGGGTAACGGGTGTAAGTATAGAAGACTAAGAAGAGAATACATCATAAAATGACCCGAGATTGCAAATATCAAAAGAAGGTTACGTAATAGTCAAATGGTTAGAGATGAATAGGGGGATGAAAATCATTTACAGGTTGGAAATATAACAGATAGTTGTTTACTTGACAGATATAAAGAAGAAATAAACAACAACAAGACTATAATTACAATTGAATAGTAATGAAAAATTGTTAAATGATAACAAAAACTGGTTACGGTTTAAAAGGAGTATAAAGTAATAACAGAAACAAACAAACAAACACAAAGACCAAAACCTACTGGAAATGGACATTAAGGTTATGGAAGGATATGAAGTTGTAAGTATTGTTTTGTACACAGAGTCTAGGCTTGAATTGGTGGATCGCCAAAACCTCAGCAATGCATAAGTTTTCGATTCGACCTTTTGATTTAATAGATTACTTTAAAGCACGACTCTTTTGGAGTAATGTGCCCAGAATTGATTAGGTGCTACTGTATTGAGTAGATAAATTTATTGATTCACAAAGCGAAATCTTACCTTTAATACATCGGTAAATGGTAGGCCGGCTTGAGGAGACAACCTCTTTCGATATTTGCAACTTCAGATCACTTTATGATGCAATCTCTTCTACATTTCCCTAGATTTATATATTTATCAAGCAACTATAAATACGAATATACAGCTTAAATGAATGGCTAAGTTGATGTCATTTACTGAATACACATTTTATGTGGTTGAAGCGACACTTCAGTTAGGGTTAGTCAGTCTCGAACAAATGTATGTTGGCATAAATTGTCATGTCACATTACGAAAAAGAGATGAAATCAACAAAACGAGTGGCAAACAAATCGAAATAGTATTAGCATCAGTGACAGTGAGGAAGATTAAACATTGGAAAATACTGTCCGAAGAGACAGGAGAGTTTGAGGAACAAAACATACAAAATAATATTGAATTTTAGGATTTTAAGGGTAAATAAAAAGTAAATACATTTGCATCATCGCATACAATTAAAGGTCTCTAACCTTCAGTTGCAACAACCACGTAGTGCGGAGCTACCCACAAGGCTCAATTCAATAGTTGACTTCGTAAAGAGATGTCACATCTCACCTTGACTGCTTTTAGCCCTCGCCCAACACAGTTTTACCCATCCAACAATGAGTGTCAGGACAAGCGGGTGTTAGGCATTCATAATACATTTCCTAACCCAGGAAATAGTGGCAAAATACGGCTGTGTAAACTGAGGTACATGGTGCGAGGTACGAACCTACGCACTACAAGTTGGAAGTCAAGTGCGTTAGTCATCAAGCCACTGCCAAAGTCAACAAATATGAAAGAACTACCGTGAGATGAACCACAGAAAATACGCTAAACAATTATCCTGATGATAATGCAGAAGCAAGCAACCCGTTATTATACTAGATATGCGAAGGAAATTAACTAATTTTACTAAATAAAGAATATACTAAAAAAAACTTCGCTTACCTCCATAAATTATCTCTATCTTCGGATATCGTCTTAAATTTTGCAAAAGTCCGTCCAGTAAACTAATTAGACAAGGAGCCGAAGCTAAACGACACTGTGATAATAAATGATGCAGCCTTCGTCGAATACGACCAGATCCCTCAGCAAGAGCTGATGTAATAATGGATACTTGTTCACTTTTTACAGGCACCTATAAAATGCAAATAATATCGTTAAAATATCGCACTGAAATCACGAAGCGATCTAAGTTAGACAACCATAGAAAACCGGGAAGCACTGGACGGTTGTTTCGTCCTAGTATGAGACCTCTCAACGGGGTGAATCCACAACTGGGCAACCGAAAATTGGACTGAGAACCTTCGGTCTCGTGTACGAACACTTAATCTCTAGACCGATGAGCTGGTAACCAGTGGTGCGCAAGTATGACTTAAATCAACCCAAGATACTACGTGATCGTCGTACATTGTCTTCAGTCAGAAGCTTTCTAACATTTGAAACTGTTTAGCTTCGTGATTCCAATGAAATTCAACAAAATCGCCAAACCCTTACTCAGTCGTTAGAGATTCAAAGCCTCATCAATTAATTAACCATCTCTAATTAGTATTCTGCAATTAACTTCATTTCATACTCCGTTGTTCCATGGTACGCCAGCAATGTCCTGAAGAACATGAAGCATGTTCTCTGCTCTCAAGGGTCGTGTTTCACGGTCACGAAGTGAAATGTTGCACAATATACTCGTCCTCTGATCGGGAGACACCTTGCTCACGCTACAAACGGTGCAAACTTCCAAGAGCAAAGCAAGAGTTTGTCAGCCATTACGAATGATGAAACTTTCTAGATGAGTGAAGTGATCAGTGCACTCAACTACTCTGTTGTTTATAGAGATTTATTGAATGTAAAGATAGATTTGACCACAAACACAGAATGAAGGAACAGTAAATATATGTTTCTTTCTAGCATGAGCCAATGTCCATCTACTACCACATCATAAAGAAATGAAACTTCAAGACGTTTAGTCAGGATTGAGCACGATACTCTGATTTTATTTAGCATTCTCCCGGAAGTCATAATGCTGAAAATATTCCGACCAATCCAAGAGGACAAATAGTTACGCTTTCCGTATTCTGACTGAAGAATCGCAGAGTTTAGCTTCTTTTCTCGAAGCATCCAAAATTCCAAGGTAATCACCAGCCTATTAACATACTCCTTTTCTATATATCAACCAACCTTAAAAGTGGAGTTTTCCTATATATTCCACCTTTCGATTTTCGTCCAGAGTTCTAGAATGATAGACTTGCGGCGACTACAATAACGGTAAGAAACCAGCGACAACATGACTCAAAATAATGGATGTGATTAACATATAGCCTTAGATTCAAATTTAATGCCATTTTTAATGTTGGCATGGATTTCTTGAAGTTCGAGTTAAAACTAACATCTGAAGGTCTTGAGTAAAATCGTTTTGTGCAGGATTTTGTTGATTCACTGTACCGCTAAAAAACTGAAAAGGCAGTCGCCTAGTGCCCCTTGGTTTGTTTCAACGACTTTTCAACTGTGATGTCATACTTTCAAGCTGATTAATTAATCAACTGGTCGTTACTGTCAAGTTTACTTTAAAGAAATAACGTTGAGGATAGCACATGACGATAATTCATATTGGAGGATAAATCACCACAAACTGTCTAACTACAATCTATTTATAAACTGAGATGGCGGAGTAGACTTGGTCATAAGAATAATTTGAAAGTGTTGCATTCTGTAAGCTAGATGAACGGTTAAATCGTACGTTTTTTATTTTCTATTTTTAAAACAACAACATCAAACATATTTCTTTTTAAAGTATGAATCCTTTAAGAAAACGAGATAGTTATCTGAAGACTTCCAGTGGTTTTCAACAGATCAGTTAGTCAATCAGTTGCAAACTTCAAAGTTATCCGCTTTCCCTACTTTTATCTAACTCTGTCATAAAAATTCTTTTAGAGGCAACACTCACATCACCTAAACTTTCAGCAGTTAGTCTTCTACCAAAGAATCCACTTCGTGACTTAAATTAAAATCATATAGTTCTGTTTCATCAAGTCACTGACATAATACAATCTTCTCATCACCTTAAACAACACTGCTAGCATGTTTCAAATGCGTTTCTCTCCATCTAAATTTAAAATGTTACTTCACAACTGGTTTGGCTCAAAGCCCGGATTTGTCATAAGCAGTGAAGTAGTTGAGCGCGTCGATTACTTATTTTGCGAGTCTCATCAGTTCTAGTAGGCTATTATGTGGTGAAATCTCGGTAGGGACTCAGAAAGCCCGATTGGCTTTTGTCAACCTGCGTCACTTGTGTCATAAGAGAGATATCTGTCTGGCAAACAACAGTCCACTCCTAGTCAAAAAATGATGAAATTCAACTATAACCTAATTTCTATACGTCTTTAAATCAAACACATTATATTTAGTATTTATTTAACTGACACACTTTATACACATGTAACTTAAATGGTAGTAGTAGTAGTGTAGTTGAGGGGTTTCATAGAGATCAACTTGATTAGTAGGTTGTATTTACCATTACAGATTGATCTCCATTAGGGTACCACTGAAAACAAAGGAGCATTGGATAGCTGTTTCATCCTAATGTGAGACTCCTCAGAATGACCTGGTTACGACCTCATAAGGGAACTAACGCAGGACCTCCTAGCCTCCCAGCGATTACTTAATGGTTGGGTTGACGTCCAACAGCATAATGTTAGCTTAAATCAATTTGTGTTATAGTGTGATTATTTATTCTCATTCATGACAACTGTTTTATTCTCCCACGTCCAAACACCAGCAGTCAGGCCTCTTCACTAGAGCTTTAGGAGTAACTTGAGTTAAGTCACTAGCGAGCTGGCTATTACAATTTAGATGAAAGGATGGCAATCGTTGGGTCACATTGCACACTGAACCATTTAATACCGACCCGATGATCCTAATGGTTAAGCGTTCGTCACGATGCATGAAGGTCCAAGGTTCTACCACTGGTTTGGCCGCTAGTGGGTATTCCCGAAAAGGTCCTATATAAGTAGTAATAGTGGTAGTTTAAGTAGAAAGACGTAACAAAGAAATTATCTCGTTCAAACTAACCTTATCACCAACGACACTTAAAGCCCGAACAGCTGCCAATCGTACATCTTGTATATCATCAGTTAACATGTCAACTAAGAGATCTTGACAATTTAATGCGAATCGAGTATTGAGAGATGCAATATGCGTAACTGTAGCTAACGTAGTACATCTTATTTCTGTTCGGCAAAATAAGGAAAATTAAATAGAAACGATAAATAGGATTACGTATTACTTTATCTTAAAAAAAAATTTTCAGCAGGGATGTAAAATAAGCTTAAAGAACTGAGGGCTAACTGTCCCACAAATGCCCTGGTACGGCCGACCGTGGGAGAGTTAGCTCTCCCTCTAGAAACGCTCTCACATGACCACGCGTATATAGCCTCTGCCAAGGAAGTCCTACTCACTACCTTCTCGCGGCATCACTGTCGTTTATGAAATTGAGAGGACGAAAAGCGAACATCCGGCGCTTTAACCGAGTTAGTCGACACGGAGAGTCCATCTAAGGGAGTTGGAAAACCCTGATTCTAAACCAATGGTGCACATGGGTCCCAGGATCTTGAAGGAACAAATGGAGTATGAACCAAGTATTGGTCACTGGCTACCATGAGACAGCATCTCCTGACGTTGCTCCACTGCATTGTGAATTGGACTTCTAGGTGAGAGGCTCGGGGAGTGACTCCTTAAGAAAACCACCTGCTTTGGTCTGGGCTCCTGGACAGTATAGCAGCCCTCATACAAATTGAATCATTTGTGTGGCGCATATATATTTGGTGCCTCCTTGTACCAATGTTTATGTGTTTAAATAAATAAATAAGACCACTTATTTAACACTATTAGTATAAGTTCGAAATGCCCAATCGCTGATATTCAGGAAAAGATTTCAGGTCAGGCATTTCTGGAACTCGTGTTTCCGCACTAGATTGCCTAGATACAGCCATGTTGCCACAAGACTTCTGAAACAGATGGAGTCTCAGTACGGACATAAACACTAGGATGCAGGCATATTCAGCCGACGAGTCCAAAACAGGACGAACTGAGCGTCCTGGATTCGATTGCTAACCTCAATCTGTCTAAAAGACATCTATTTATCAGTTTAGATTTTAAAAATAATAAAACAATCCGAATAGGTATTTAAATTTGTTAGCGAGACGGTGATTTGATTAAATCATATTCCAGACAGAAATACGATGATTGACCTATTTTTAACCAACAGGACTAGTAGGCAAGAGAAGGCTCTAGAATCTTCTCACGTAAAAATTATAAATACACTGACATTTTTCTTACTGTTTTGTCTGGAAGCAAAACCATGATTATTGACATTTTAATAATGTTTATTTATCTAGTTAAACACATAAACATTAGTACAAAGGAGCACCAAAATATATGTGCACCGCGCTAAATATCATCGAACTTGTGTGTGGGCTGGAATGTTCCTTGAGGGCCACTATCCGAGACTTTTACCTAGAAGTACAATCCACAAGACAGTGAAGTAACGTTAAGAGATGCGGTCTTAAAGTATTCGGTGGTTAAGAGGCTAAGAAGACGTTAGTACGCCATTTCTTCCCTCAGGATACTGGGGCCTATGTGTACTATTGGGTCAGACTCGGAGTTCTCCAACCTCCCCTAAGTGACTGTTCTGTACCCACCGACCCGGTTTAAGAACTGGATATTCGCTTTCGTTATCACAGTTTCTCAAGGAACACTTTTGTAGAGAGAAGACAATGAATGGGACTTCCCTAGGAGTGGCTATATAGGCGTGGCCAAATGAGAGCATTTTGAGGGGAAGAGTGCACCCGCCCCAGCGTCGGCCATATCAGGGGACTCGGGGCTAATAGTGTAGTTAATCAGATATTTTACGATATCGCGCACATATATATGTATATAAAAAACAATTTACCAAAATAATCATCTTCCAATCCGCTAATGATAGCTCCATTACAGCCAGTCGATATTAAATTAATAGAATCTGAAGTAAGATTTTTAGTTTGTAAACGGTTATCCACTGTGGAGCGTAGACTATTGTTGTTGTTACTTTTGTTTTTTCTGTCCTTCGACTTATTATCACCTTCCATCATAGATCGACGTACTTGCCGGTCGGACATGACTGTTTTCTCCAATGTTTGTAATAAACAATTTTCTGTAACAAACTTTTCAAAAACAAAACGAAGGGTACAAGCAGAATAACATGGCAGTGGTAGGATAAAGGTTAAATTTGAATATTTTCTTAACAATGTCTGGTACAATGGGTTATATATATAAGGCTTATCCAGTATAGCTTCTCTCTTAATCTCGATCTTCTCACTTAAGTAGCTGGTAGGACTTGTATATAGGAAGCTTGTATATCAGTATTAAAACTAGATACAGAACAACACAGGTGTTCTTCATAAAGTAGCCTCGCTTAGAGTTAGGTAAGACGTCCACTTATAAAATTCATTCATCAATTTAAATGTATAATGAGAACGAAATAATGTTAGGAAAATGCGGACGATGGTGTTCACGAGAATTGTTGAGTATGTTTCAGAACGTTTGTGCTTCAGTGAATTTTATTCATAAGCAATAAATATGTATTACAGAAAATATACATTTGTTAGAGTTATCATTGTCAAATGAGTGCAGCTCGAACTGTGCACTCAGAAGGAAAGCGTTGTTAGGTTTTTACTGTCACGATGAAATGTCACCGCTTTTTAATAATTACAAACTTAGAAGTATAAACTTTCAGCTCTATTTTCGGGATCAAATATGAAATATCTAAGCTTCGTGAAAAAAGCCCAACAAATAACATATTTCATGGTTAATAGATTTACAATATTCTAGCAGGGAAATATAAAATGGTAGGTTGGTCCAGTCAGGAAAACAAATGGATAAGTTTAAATGACCCTATCCTCTCGAGTTCTTACAGAACCGTTTGGCCAAACAGCACATAGGTGGTTGTTAACAGGGATCCATTCTAATAGTGCTTGTTCTGCCCTCATACTTAGTGCTATGCTAGTCCACAATAACTAACCATCGAGTCACCAGATAAACGGAGAGTGTATCTTATCAGTTCCCTGTTTTGGCTAGGGGGGTCAAGTGAATGACCACACTAGAATCTTGTATGCGTGTTTCGGAGACACAGTGTGCATCAATGATACGAGATTTTATAGCCTTAGCCAAGGAGGCCTGCTGGCCGATTTGACATAGGGTACGTACATTGAAGGTTCCAATGTGCAGTTCGGAGAGAGGTTTCAGTAGACCTAGGACAGTATTTCGCGCACTGGAGTTGTTGACCATGGTGGCACTTGAGAACGAAGTTTATAATTGGTAGTCGAGGTGGGAGGAATAATAAGAATTGAAGAGGGAAATGGGTTATAAATACAGTGGTTTTGAGTGCTGTTAGAGGTATGAGGGCGGTTTTCACTCCCCGTTTGCCCACAACATGAAAGGGTTCTTCTAGAGGTACCTGAAAAGGAGATTGTGTTAGAGTTGGTTTTATTGACCTCAGAAAGTGACTGTGGTGCCCAAGGGACAACTATTCGAGGCAGGTCACACACGAACTTGTGTTAGCTCTGTACTTGTTGAGTCCTTACCACCGGAGACGGGAATCCATGGGATTAGGCGAGATGTGCATTTTTAGGGTCGACGTTTTGTAATCCCACCCTTTCTTTGTGGGAAGGCAGTATCACTCTCATACTTGAAAGATATGAATGAAGGAATAATGGGATTCAACATTCATAGGACGATAAAAAGTGAACCTGTGCCACTATGAACTATTCTGAGTCATGTTACAGTCTCTAGTCACCGATTGTGGTTATAGCACGGACCCTAACCAGCTAGTTTGTACCTACCTACATGCCTCAGATCAACAGTCAACGGCCCCATTAAGGCTTGGCCCTCATAAGTTTTCTTTCAACTTATTTCTCCACCAGTAAACCACTAGTCGGGGTAGACAGTGGTTGAGCATACTTAATAAATGCCCTAACCACCTCAGTTGATGAAGATTCACTACCTAATTGGCAACCAAACACGTAACTCTCTGCATATTACTAACAACTTACTTTAGCCAGATCAGCCATTATGTGAGCAGCCAACTGTCTAACACTTCGACTAGGATCTTGAAGTCGACAACACACACGAATAAAAGCATCATCAACTAATTGAGTTTCTTGCAAATCAGAGTCCAGAAATATTTTTGATGATACTAACGAATTCAAACTGAAGACAGGAACATCTGTCAAACTACGATGCGGCCAAATAGTACTCAACTTTCCAAGAACATGTAAACTAGTTCGACGGACCTGTAGGATGAAATTATAATAAATTTTTAATATAAAAATCAAATGATCTTAATCTGAATAAGACTTTCAAATACTATATATATCACTAAAGCATCCGAAAACAAATTGATGCTACCATATGGACTCAGTAGAAAAATTTGAGCCATAATAAATAACCAAACAAAATACATCCGAAGAAGTACTATGATTGTTAGTGATCTCGAATTTTATAGATATATTAGACATCATGAGTCATTAATTTTTTACCAAATGGATTACGATGTATTGTTAGATGTAAATCATATTTAGTTCGCTAACAGAATACAAAATCACGAAATAATACCAGGCAGTGAGACTGCTATATTGATGCTTGTCATTGAACTTGGTATTACTTACTTTATCCCTGTTCAAATAACTCAGAACACTCTTACAACGTTAACGCTCCTGAAGAGACCCTAATAACCCAACAAAATACATTTTAACCCTCTAGAGCAAATGAATTCAGTAAAATATCATTCTCTAGTTCGCCTATTGAGATCATTTTGTCCTAGTGAAGAACCGATTCCATGAGCGTTCACTCCAACATTAAGACCTAAATAGAATACATATTCCAAGTTGACTAACCTCATATCGTCACATCAACAGAAGTTTACAAGATGAGGAGCAAAGGGATGGAAATTATATCAATTTCAATGAAAATCCGAACGCTGGAAATACCGAAATGAAAGGATAGAAATTAAACGTAATATTTAGGCATTCAGTTAACTGGATAGTAGATGACTTATGGTCGTGATATCCTCCGAACGTTTACTTGTTAAATTACTTCCGATTATCCTTTGATGTTAAACCATCTAAGGGCTTACGTCAATTATCCAGTCTCATGAGCAGCTAACAATCGATCCCACTGTATTACTGTATATTATTAGTTGATCGGCACATTTTATACATTAACTAAACAATCGTAAATGTCTTGTCATCATTATAAATCATTAAGAGCTAATTCGTAACAAATATAGTACAAAAGGAATAAATAAGATGGAAAAATGAAAATCTTGGAATGATACTTCGAATTTAGAGGGGCATCGTAAATTAATCCTACTGGACATGATATCATGCCATGTCACTCAAATGTCTACAACCGAAACCTACAACTGATGCACAAGTCCTAATTGAGAAATGCTCAGTTGCCACAAATTCAATTCAACAAACTTTCCCTCATAATACATTATAACTATAATTGATTCCGCTTATAAATACAATGAACGGTTATTAAACATTAACTTGAGAAATACACTAAGTCTTGAGATTAATTTATTCCAGACTCGAGAAATATATTGAAAAGGACTTAATTTTCGGAGCTACCAAGAAATATTTTGAAATTTTCAGTTGGATTCTTCACGAAAATATTAGTAGTTTAGTCTATGATTACTTAGCAAACAAAATATAGATAATGTACTACACTATACTAGCTACTTCGAGTAAGAAGGTACAGATAAGCTCATTTCTTAACAAAATGAGCTAAAACAACGTGTATTCACTAAAATAATGGAGGTATAATCACAAAATCTTACCAACTCTTCATTATCTAGTAACCCTTGACAAGCAGCTGAATAAACAGACTCCAGATTCGCTTCAAACCACCCAGTCAACTCCTTTTTTGCAGACTCTTTATGGTTGTTGAAATACTTTGCTTTCCCTGGACGACTAAACTCACTAGATTTCAAGACGGCGTTGAGTGAAGATAGCCACGTTAAGAGACAATGGAAAGAACGATCACGTACTCTGGGATCACCATCCGCAGTATGCCACAGCACAACTTCACCAGCTGAACCTGCACTAAGACAAATTTGTGGACTGTTCCATCCAGCTAGAAGGTCAAGACACCCAGAGCGTACGTGAGCAGATGGACACGCGAATGCCTATTCAAAAGATGACAGAAGGTTTACAGCATATTGTGACATCCATCATAGATATATTTTTACAATGCTACCAATAAGTATAAACAGTTTGGTTTCCTAGGTCCAATAGTATTCAAATAAGTCGATAAAGATCCTAAGGAAAACGGATCACTTAGAAACATCCTAACCCTTATAACTGAATCCGAATACAGTACGAATATTACCTGAGTAGAAAGCTTTCATAAAACTGGCACTTCGCTTAATTTTCGAACAACTTCGCTTAATATCCCTTGCATATTGACGTTGATCAAAAAGGATTTCTATACGGATACTCCTGTGAAATACTAACTTTTATTGTGTAAGCAACTGGGATATATTAGTCAAGTACTCTCTACCAACAAAAAAACAGACTACTTGTGTTCATAACGCACTATCATATCGCACTTGTCATATCGTAGAACTAGAGGCGACTTTATTACAGTTTTCAAACTGCTTAGTGATAAATTTGCACCTAAAATGCCCTTATTTTTCTTATCTTCCAAAACAGAGAATTTACGAGGACACTCCAAAAAAGTTCACAAGCCCAGAACAAATTACTTGTCAGCTGACTATCGACTTTCCCATCGAATCATCAACGAATGGAATTCATTACCTCAGCACGTGGTTGAGGCTCCATCCGTCGACTCTTTCGAAAGAAAGTTGGATCAACTGAGAGATCACAATTGCCAGGACTAGCACAGGCCATCAAGCCTCCTGTCCTTTCCAAATTGAAACTGAAACTAAAATTATGCCATCACAAGTTACGGATATTCTAAGCAGTGTAAAATTTAGAAAAACGGCTCACGAATTAGGAGTGGTAGACTTTTGTTGCTCTCAAGAGGACTGGCTGTCATTGAAAATTGAGTGTGCTGAAAGATATAAAAGTCACGAGTTCAGTCTTTAGCAATTATGAGAGTAGGTCGTTCATTAACACAAGCTACAATAATTAATGCTTGTGGCTTGCTATATAATGACTGAACAGAAGCGATATATTTCGTACACTGTACTTTGAACACACATGATATAAAAAGCTAAAATAACTTTTGTGAGTCATGGTATTTATCCTTTATTGTTAGAGTAACACTCATCAAAACTCTAAATTCCCCGACTATTACTGTCTTTTTAATACCTCATTAATTACTCCTAACACCGATAGCTCTTGAGTAGCAGTTGGTGGGAGAGCCCGTAACCTCGTTAGGAACTTTTCACACTCTGAGATCAACATTAATTGTAACCCGCCTACCGCTTGACCTTGAAGAGGTCACAACTCTCCCTGTCCAAAGTGTCAGGAAACCGCTGGGTGCTTAGAGTCTTCACCTGGGTCGTGGCAGGATGTCCTTCATTTCAGAAATATGTGATTCATGTTATATTCCGTTTGAGACTGAAGAGGAAAGGCGAACAAATCGATAGCAAGAAAATTAACCGCGAAGCGGTATTTTTAGTAATCTCTTTTTACTAGTGAAACCTATGTAAAAGTTGAACCTTGTTTCGAGATATTTGAACATAAGGTACCGTCATTGATGCTTCCGTCAAGGAGTTCTACTGTCTACTGAAGAGAATAACATAATAGCTCGCACAACTTTTTCAGTTTTTTTACGGCGCGCTATCTAAAAGAACAGTGGTATTGTTTCTCGTTGAGTTAATTAACTGTTTTGATCGTAAATTACTCATCAAAACTACTGTTTACACCTTAATTGAATCTACTCCAGTTAAAGTGTTATTGTATTGAGTGTTTCGACTTTGCTTTTGTGTATTTGTTGCATCGAAACATACTTGGTCGACTTTTACTTGATTTTTTAGTTAAGGTTTGAAAATTCTTTCACATATCCTGTTTGTGTCACCATTGTGGTGGATTTTCAAGATGGCCAGCTCTGCTCATAAATGTGCATAACCATATTGCTTATTCCCCGTGGAGGAAGGTATGCAATGTAATGAGTGTAATAAGTGGTTCCATATGATGTGCACTCGATTAGGCCCCACTGCACATAAAAGGTGCTCAAAGCCTAACCCTCACTGGCTTTGTAGTTTTTGTTGCTCGAGAAAAACACTACTCATCCAGGACGCAATTAGCCTCCTGATGTTGGCTAATAAGAAGGTTGATGAGAGCTGTGCTGGTAAGATTGGTACTGATGGCGTAGATTGCGTTAGTGTCGTAAGTGCTGGCAGGGCGCAAGCCAAGCATCTAACTGTGTAACCCGCAATTAAACCTACCCCGAAACAATCAATGGGTGACACTTCATTAGATTTTGGTGGCCATATTGCTACAGCAGCAACCGGTGATCCAGATAAAATAATTACGACTGACGGAATATGGGTGACGAAGAAACGCAGAAGAGTAGAGAAGATAGCCAAAACTAATGACCGTTTACTTGATAAGTCATTGGTGGACTCTCAGACCACTCCACCAAATTCCCAAAGTAAAGCCTCGTCTAACATTGTTGTCAGTCACTCGCTCGACTCCCATGACTCTGTTGCAATAAAAACTAATCGTAAGATACCTGTAGTTAATATACAGGATCTAACGTCACGATTAAAAGCTGTGAACACGATTTCAAAAGAAGCTAAACTCCTTCCTAGTTTAATTATTTAGAATCTAGAGGAGTCGAAAGACAATGACTCTGCTAAGAGACATGCACATGATCTGCAGTTAGTGGAATCCGTGGTAAGAAATCTACTACCTGACGAGGTTCCAGGATGTACATATCACGAAAGTAACACGACTCGGCAAATGGGTTGGAGGCGAGACCCAACCAAGAAGAGTCTTGAAACTGGTTCTCGGAATTTTGAAGAAGGAGATATATTATTGAAAAACGCACTAAAAATTCGTGATTCAAATATTCGCTTGAGGATCGAATCAAGTGGAAGAATGCTCTTACGGAGTTGAGGACCCGCAAATTAAATGGCGAAAATAACCTTACTATTAAGGGTTTTCGGGTAGTCAGGTCTTGGAAGCCAATGCTTCCGAGGCCTGTATGGGTAGAACGAATGATTACCAGAACGCCTTAAGTGTGTGCTACACAAACGCTCGTAGTCTTAGAAATACAACATCCGAGTTAAGTCTGATGGTGGAAGAATTATGTCCCGATATAATCGTTGTTACAGAAACTTGGTTCACCGTGATATAGACTGTTCTCCCATCATTGCAGGCTATATCTGTATTAGAAGTGATAGAGTTTCAAGTCGCAAAGGGGGAGGTTTAATATTATACGTTAGGGATCACTTTCGTATACAATCAACAATATCGGAGGCTCATATCAGTGGCACATGTGAGGTTGCATGTTGTAAGATTAAATCTAGAAGTGGGTTAGTGACTAAAGGGGGAATATACCGTAGTCCGTTTTGTCTTGCTGACGACTTTATCCTAAGACCGTAACGTCGCCGTTTATCCCATTGTCAGCACGTAAGCTATCACATTGCCCTCCATGAATTAATAAGGAAACCCGGAATCTGTTAAAGCGTAGGACACACTTCTAGGACTTATTCTTGTTGACAGGTCATGCATATTTTAAGCGTGAGTACCAAAAATTCTGTAATATCTGTAAGAAAACCACAGCTAAATCCCGTACTACTTACGAAGGGCAGTTAGTATATGACGGCCGGACTTGTCCGAAACGACTGTCTTCGTATGTTTAACGGCGAATGAAACGTAATGATGGTATTCTCCCGTTACTGTTACACTAAAATTCAGATTTACTATCTGAATCAGATCGGGCAAAAGCTAAGGCTTTCTCAGACTATTTTAGCGAAGTATACTCTACGTTTATTGTAACAAATACTTGTCCCACTCACACCGAGATAACAGTCATTGAATCTGTACAGGTGACTGAGGAAACTGTCCTTCCGTTGATAACTAACTTCAAACCTTGTAAGATACCGGGCTCTGAGGGGTTACATCCACGGTTGCTGTCATCTCTTGCAGACATTATTTCAAAACCGCTTTCGACACTCTTCAACATGCCACTTTCCCTCACTCAACTCTCTAGAGATTGGAAAGATACTACAGTCAGTCCTATATTCGAGGATGATCAGAGACAGATCGTATCGAACTACTGACCTGTCAGTCTAACCAGCATAGTCGTTAGGTTACTTGAAAAGATAACTCGGGTTAGGTTGCTAAGCCACATAGATTTACACAATCTGTTAGCTCCTGAGCAATACGGATATCGTAACAAGCGTTCATGCTTGACTAACTTACTTATTGCGAGAGAGGATTGGACAGCAGCCCTAGATAACGGTCTGTCTGTCGATATGATATTCATAGATTTTAGCAAAGCATTTGACAAGGTTTCACACGTAGGTGTGATGCAGAAGCTCAAGAGCTTCGAAATAATAGATACTGTACATGAGTGGATAGGAAACTTCTTACGTGACCGCAGACAGAGAGTGAGGGTCAACGGAATGCTATCTGATTGGAAGCCAGTCAAAAGTGGTGCACCCCATGGCACCATCCTAGGCCCTCTGCTCTTCCTTCTCTACGTTAATGAGTTACCGCTGTTGCTTAGGTCGTCGACATTATTGTTTGCGGATGATGTAAAAATCTGGAGAACAATAGAAAGTGAGGCTGATCATCTGGATCTTCAAGCTGACTTAGACGACTTAGTTAGATGGGCTCGAGGTTGGGGCTTAGAAATCAATTCTAGGAAGAGTGTACTAGTGCACATCGGTCACGGTAATAGTTACCGTTATACTTTGAGGGTAAACCTCTTCCATGTGCTCAAGGACATAAAGACTTAGGAGTAGTAATAAGTCATGATTTAAAAACAACTACGCATTGCAACGCAGCCGCTGTCAAAGGTTTTCATGCTTTATGGTCACTTCACCGAGCGTTCGACTCTTTTGACGAGAAAATGTTTCGAATTTTATACCCCACTTATGTAAGACTTTCGTGCCTATAGGTAACCTTCGTGCTATCGATAGAAGAAACCAGACAAGTAGTGAATAGGTCTTTATTTAGATCTTCGCGTAGTCACAGTGGAGCGTGGGATTATTTGTTCAGACAAACAAAGCCTCTCAACATTCAATATAAGATAATAGGAAATATAACGCCTATACAAAATAAGGAAGTGAATGAATACTTGATCTACTCTGTTTTGGAATATGCCTGGTGTTTGAGGTCAACTCTTAACCAACCAACCTAAGCTGTTACAAGACCACATTTAGAGTAGTGTATCCAAGCAGCTAGCCCATGTCTAACTCACTTGAGTGTGCCAGCGTGTGGGAACGAAATTAGTGAAGGGTCTTTCTAAACTACCTTGCGGTGAGCGTTCTAAATGCTTAAAACTTCCCCCCTTGTCGTATCGTAGGATGCGAGGTGACCTTATACTGGCATTTCGTATCTTTAATTATGATTTGGGTGTTAATATGTCTTATCTTTGTGTTAACTACAACACTAAAAATCTCTGAGGTCGTAGCAAGAAGGTTCATAAACCGCGATCTAATAAACTTAAAGTGGGGCCCCTTTTTTCTCACCGGGTAGTCAGTGATTGGAAAGCCTTACCTGAAAAAGTGGTATTGTGGTGCGTGCTACTTATATTGATATAAGTAGTATATAACTTGAGTTAAAAGAACGTAATGTCTGGCAGCAGAAGATGGAGAAGATCAAGAAAGGAAGTGCAAGAACACAATGGAATTTGTAAGAAATCGCATGAACAATGAAATGTGAGACAATGGGTTGAGGTTTGCAACAGCAACAGTCCGGTTTGATATGATGGAATGATATTTTGCAAGTTAACGATTTACTATATGGTTTTTCTATTTTACCAAGTAATTCTGTAATTTGTGCTAAATAAAATTTTAGTTGTCGTCACCCGTGTTCTCCTTCACTACAGTATCAGCCCTATCAGTGAATATTTTCAAGGAGAAGCTGGATCTTCGCTGGTAGGAAATCTGTCAGCATTAACACAGGTTCACCAACCTACTATCCTTATTACTGAGGGGTGGAGACTGAAGTTTGGAAAATATAGGAGGCTTGATGGCCTGTGTTAGTCCTGGCAATTGTGATCTCTCAGTTGATCCAACTTTCTTTCGAAAGAGTCGACGGATGGAGCCTCAATCACGTGCTGAGGTAATGAATTCCATTCGTTGATGATTCGATGGGAAAGTCGATAGTCAGCTGACAAGTAATTTGTTCTGGGCTTGTGAAGTTTTTTGGAGTGTCCTCGTAAATTCTCTGTTTTGGAAGATAAGAAAAATAAGGGCATTTTAGGTGCAAATTTATCACTAAGCAATTTGATATACCGATTCATGTAATAGTCCTCGATGTCGCAAAAAGCCCTTGAAACAGTACCTAATGTAATTTTTATAGCAAATTTCTCAAAGATGCGTTTATTTAGGCTCACAAAATACCTTGAAAATGGGACGTTTCATGTCAAAGTAATCGGAAGGTCCCATTATCAGGAGTTTCACAAAGAGCAAACTTAGGCCCACTGTTGTTCTTGATCTTTAAAATTAGCTCGGTGACAACGATGTACGGAGTCAATGTAGAGATCTGAGGATTCACACAAGGCAAAGAGGATATACTTGAGCTTCGAAACACACACTAAAACGATAGATGAATATTCAGTGGACAATTGGTTACAACTGAACCTGCTGAAGTGTCGTGTCATGAGAATTCTGCCTTATTTAACTAATCAATTACACCCTCAATGAAATCCGCTTTCGATCGTCTCTTCAGAGAGTGATTTTGGGCTTACAACCTCGGAGAGTCGATGATACCAAAGCAAACTCAACACTTGATATTATGGGAAAACAACTGGGCTCAATCATCATAGATTTGTTCCTAAAACCGTACCCATGGCCCCCACTTTCAAGTTAATAACGTCGAACCACCCCCTTTCTCTTCCAAAGTGATCTCTTAGACCAAGTACAGAGTGAAAGCTTCTTCTACTCCGTTCACAACCATTTGAACCATTTGAAAACATTCACTGAAACTACAAGTTATACGAACTGACTAAAATCAGCACAGTAAAGTGTTTAACTGCCCCCAATTGCACTTAATCAAATACCTTGAACCGCACCAAAACAAAAAGAAATGAAATCAATTGGTTTATAAAAGCTTGTAGCGTGGCGTCGAGTCGAGACTAACTATGAACACCACTACCAAGAAACACGTGCCAAGTAAATAAGAAGGCGAAGGTTGAACGTAACCAAATAAATCCATAAAATCCCCGAGAAGCCAAATATCAGGAGGCAGTTAATGGACCAAGTCGAGATATATTTTCTGGCGATCTCGTGGTATCGAAAGGATACCGAGATCGTGCCAGGATACAAGCTTGGTTACAGAACGTAACCGAATTCGCGCGGAGTCACAATCAAAGTGTAAGAATAAGAATGGAAGCACAATATAGCTGTCATTAGCACAGTCAAACAAAAGCACATTAAAATAAACACTGGTACAGTTGGTTATAATAATATTGTTTTTATTAAACCGGTCGTGTTCTCGTGATAAATGTGAGTCACTACAAGCTCAGAACAAAGATATTGAACTATGGAATTCTGTGATTCATCGAATGACCAGTAACTGAAATGGCATACACAAACAAGTGAGTTCGGCCGCATCAGTAATCATCTTTAAGAACAAGTCGGGTCTTCACTGGGAAATAAGCTTCAAGGAACAACATAGGTTCAGCGACCTACTATCCTTGTAACTGGAGCCTGAAGCGGCTAATTTGCCCCGCTCGTTACGGTGTATTGCCTTCTCGAGACTACTGTTCCTAGTTGTTTTTACCGTTCTGTAGCTCTTAGTAGTGATCTATGAGTAATTTTTTGTATCTTACTTGTATCGGCTGGATTAAAGCATCTCTGATCTTTCAGAAAATAGAATTCAATCTATTTTTCCTTAATTTTATAACATTTCATTACTTTACTCGAGCATCATCCTCAGCTGCCGTTCATTCGTTTTATCAGTTGTGTTCGATCATTTCGCACATCAAAGGAAATGGGTTTTTGTAACTAGGGTAAAGCGCTAGGCCAGTTACTTGTTATAATTAAAGAAAGACCAGTATACACCACTATTAAATCGAAACTATCTGAAAAGTAGACTGAGTTTATCTCTACCTTACTTATTTTGTCAATATTAGTACTGGAATAAATTAGAATGTACAATACTTGGCATAAATTGATCAATTACTTATGCATGTATACAATTCACGACATCAATAGATTAGGCTGTTTTTAATATAGGGGTGAAGATGTATAGCACAGAGAAGCTCCACCATTAGACTGCTTTAAATAAAAATTACTGTCAAGTCACTGAGTTATAAATTTTCTCTTGGCTAACAGTTTCTTATGAATTACTATCATCCTTGATGCTGTGTATTTTCTAGAAAAGGTTCAATGCAATTTCGCAAAGTAATTTGTTACAGTTATGCACATATTCAACCGACTCTAATCTACAGTTCATTTCGCAGTCTGTCGACTTCATCACAATTATTTAAACACCAGCAGCAAAGATATCGTGAGGCTAAAGTAACTGTAAATGAAAAGTCGAAGAGTAGACGAGATGCTGCTCGTGAACTATTGATGAAAACAAATAGGACGAAGTGGGAGAAGGAAATGGCTCAATTAAATGTTTTGAAAGGTCGAATTCCAACTTCCGATACTTACTTAATATCTGAATTTGAGCCGAAAAAATACAGTTTGTCAGAAGCTGTTGAGCTACTGCGTGAAAGTGCCCAGCCGGATATGTATGATTGTATGGATAATCCGGTTCGAGTTAAGGTATGACGTTTTTGCAACCTTTCTGTATTCTAAGTTACGTCAGAATTCTTTTCTGAGCTATGAATATTATTGTGCTTAGACTACTTATTGTGTTACAAAACTAAAACTTGGGACTAGGTATATGTCAAGTTATCTTCATAGCTTGGATTTCAACATCTAGACCATATTTTCATCTACAATGCTAACTAGTTAGTGTAGTCGTAGAGACCGACTAACTGTCTGGTTTTGCGTATCCAATGTTTCAACTAGACTATCTAGGTCCCGCTATTTTGAACCTAAATTCACTTCTCATCCGGCCTTCAAGATCATTTGAACCATTAAAAAATACTTCTCTTCACATAACATATTTTATCAGTAAAGTCTGTAGTTAGGCGAAGCTTTTTTAACTTAATCACTTATAAATGTTAGTGTAATTTAGAATGTGAATTTCTTTTCATTAAGCCTTAATGAGTTTTAAAATTTCTTGTAACTGACTGACTAATAAATATATGAATGTATACTTTATATTAACCGAATCTGTCTATACGTTTAATAAGAAGTCTGTTGTTGAGTTCATCCCGAATAGTGACTCAGTGATTTGGGTGTTCGACTGTCTCACTAAGTCATAGGTTCAAATTTCCCTCCATCGACTTCGATCTGGGAAACCGGGTAGAGTCATTAGCCCTTGCACTTAAAGTGTAGCTCATGCACAGGTACCTGGGGTTTGAATGAACTTAATTTGATTACACTGAAGTATTGACTTACAATCTTTTGTATAATTTATACGGAAACAAACTTTGCGGGAGTGGTTTTGTCTTTTTATAGAGCAATGATCACATATTCATTGTTATCATTTCATTTAAAGGGTCCTAATTTTTCATTACACGTTATTTCATAACACATCTTGCGTAATCTGCGAAATACCAAGGGGTTTTTTAGTTCTCATCATAGTATCAGGTTTATACCTTAGTAACTTCCACATACATTATATAAATAATTTCGCAAACTAGGTACGTCAATGGCTTCAGTGTACGGTGTTAGAACTCTTTCATCCTGATATATGTACATAAAATTGTTGTCTTTCTGTGAGGTATATGTATTTTTGTACTCACGTTTTATTCTATAAGGGGCCAATTATTTTCCAAATTATTTTGAAGTTTCCACTCCTAGTAAACCAGTCATCATTTTAGTCTTCAACAAACAATACATCAATAGCAAAACTTTTCAAAGTTCTATGTTAAGTTACTTACTGTCTACTCAAAGTTGCACTGGTAACGCTAAATGATTCCATATTACAGAACCAATAAATAACTACTTTAGAAATTCCTTCAGTCAGTCATATACAACGTAGAATATGGCATATATATGCATTAGTTCCAGTTGCTACACCACATTAGTACAGAGGGGAAATTATCAAAATAAATAATAGATTATCAGAAGTGGTATTAACACTTCCGATATCAATAACAGTGAAAAATATTACTTATAGAAAGAAGAAGTATGAGAAAACTCCGCAACTCGGAATCTAAGGGTAGACATAGAGTTAATGTAGCTGTTTCATTGCGAACGATTCTGAGTCACATCACTCAATGAGAATCGCGCAGACCCCAGACACGTAGTCTGTACCTGTTAACATGGCTCAGTTTAGTATTCACTAGATTTATGGGTTGATACTTCTCCTTGTTTTGTCCTCCCTAAGCTTTCTTCCAGCGTAATTCTACGCCGGTTTGGCATGCTTAACAAAATCTCTAACCACCCCAGTTGGTGAAGATTCACTACATCATCAACCGACTTACCATATTTGCCTAGTACATTACGCTTAACCTCGACATTGCTTGCCCGATGTTCCCGAAATACATGAGCAATTTTTCGAAGGCACCCGTGATCACGCATCGATGAACTGTTACTTTCATCCATTTTGAATGGCTATGTCTCATATTCATAGAGTATAACGGAGTGGGTTGTAAATCAGTTCTTTGGTTTACATACGGACGTCTCACCTAGGCAAATCTATGCAATATTTCGTTAGACACCAAATCCCCAGTGCCTACGAGACTATTCAGGATTTAAAAATGTTACACAAGCTAGAACTTTGGATGTCAAAAAAGCTGTTAATTGGATTAGTATTTATAAGTAGGAAGTAATAATAATCACAGACCATGAAAACACAATAAATGAATGAATTAATGCATGCTAAGAATGTTTATAATACTCATGGTTTTCTCCCCTTTATTATTCGAGGGATACTTTATCAATTAGGTCTCCTTGACAAAGTTTTACTTGAAGAGAGTCGTTTTCTTCTGCGTGTTATCTGCATATACAATCGTAAACATTTCACAAATTTCCTGACCGTTTTTCCCTAGTTTCATGAACAACCTTATAATAATCATTCGCTTATTTATTAGGCATTTATGTGTTCCATCATTGTTCTCACAATAATAGTCATCGGAACTAGAGGCAGCTGTATTTTGGAATATCATCGTTTTCTCAATAGGACTATGTTTTCCTAATCGAATTCACTTTCTATAATCAGCATCTTTTGTGAACTTCATAGGTTAGCATGTTGTTAAAATATCCCGAATGAGCATAAACTGTGTACCCAATTTAAAAATGTATGTAGACCTTTAATATAGTTCTATTCTCACTCTCACTATTCATGGTATGATGGTAGATAAGTGTTTAAGTCAACTCACCCTTCAACATCAGTTTTATTAGGTAGGTGCGAATCTACATTCCACATACATCAGTGTTTAAGCAACCAGTTCATATCACTCTAGATGTGATCACATGTAAATATCATAATTCAAAGTTGGTTATACCTTAAGAAACCTCTACCTTTGGTAACTGAGTTACATTACTTCCTTATTATACAGTAACGATCCAATAAGTTTACCCATTTAAAGTTGTGAATTTTATGGTTGTATTGTTTTCTGTATTTCATGGGGTTCACACACACAGGTTACGCTCAATATGTGTACAAAGAAGAAGACAAGGTTCATACCGAAATTTGAAAGTAATCTCGTTCTACCAAATCTATTAGATTTTATGCCTGCTCGTCGAGTATTGGTCATATGTCAAGTAAGTTAAAGGAGAAACTCACATATAAAAGTAACTTTTGTGTTGATAAAAACCGGGGGGGGTATGAACTAAGTTTGTTAGTTAGGTGTTAATTTAGTTGGAGGTTGAACTAATTATGGTTGCTTTGTGCTCCAATCGTTTATTTGTTGAATAATCTACTCTTTTGGCTAGTAACAATCTTGTATTTGATCTCAACTAGAGCCCCTAAATATCCTGATACCTCCGACCGTGGGGAGAATCAGCTCTTCCTCTCGAGGTCCTCTCACATGGCCACTCGTATACAGCCACTCCTAGGGAAGTCCTGCTCAGTGCCTTCTCGTGGTGAGGGTGTTGTTTACGAAATTGAGAGGGAAAAAAAGCGAATATCCGGAGATCTAACCAGGTTGATGGACTCACCTAGGGGGGTTGTAAAACACTGAATCCAAACCTATTTTGCACATGGTCTTCAGGATCCTGAGGGAAGAAATGGCGTATAACCTTATTTTTGGTGACCGGCTACCATGGGACTGCATCTCCTAACGTTGCTCAACTGACTTGTGGATTAGACCTCTGGATGAAAGGCTCCGGGTGTGTGACCCCCTAAGAAAACCATCTGTTTCGGTTTGGGCTCCGAGCAATATTTCAACCCTTACACAAGTCGAATGACGAAGTGCGGCGCACAAATATTTGGTACTTTCTTGTACCAATGTTTACGTGTTTAAATAAATAAATGAAATAGAGTTTGTACCATCACATTCGCTGCATACATTATCAATATAGCCCGTTATTATAACTCTCAAATCCTATTTTTTATCTTCCAAACTATTTTTTGTATTACATAGTTACTGTCACTTCTTTTACCGGATATTATTTTAGTAGGTCAGTTGCGCGATTATCTTTTCCAATCCATTTTAGTGGTTAACACCCTTCAGTTTTGTTTGTTTGTTATTTACATCATTCCATTTCATTGTTTGATTACTTCACCAATCATATTGTTGTAATATCTGTAGTTCACATCATAAACTGGCAAAGTCATGAATGTCCTATATTAGAAAGAAACAGGAGTCTAATGCTGTTTATCCTATTCTTTTTCAATGATTACCCAAAAAATCTCAAATTGTTATGAAACATCATTTATAAATTGACATTGTCGATTTGTTTCTCGATTAAATACATAATTTTTAATTGTACACAATTATTATTATTATTACTACTGTTAATACTATTATCAGAATTCAGATGATCGTGAGGCATATTTAACTGCTGGTGCTTATGATGCTGGTGGATCAGCACTTATTCAACGTATAAGTCAAGGTCACTACCATTGGGGTGAATATGATACTGTTGTCGCTCATCAAAGTTGGGAAAGTCAGGTGACAAAATTACGACATATTTTAAAAGAAAGATTACCGACAATAAAAAATGGTAAGAGTTTTCATCTTTCTTGTGACATAATTTCAAATATGATGTTGTTTTTAAACAGTTTTCACTGTTTGTTGTATTGTATTATCAAGCTTCTTGATGGATCTGTGTAGTTTTAATTGAGATCATGAACCGATTGATGTTAGATCACCAGTGAAAACCTGGAAGCACTCGACGGCCGTTTCGTCCTACTGTGGGACTCCTCAGCAGTGTGCATCCACGATCCTGTTCGCGGGATTGGAACTTAGGACTTGTCGGTTTCGCGTGCAAACGCTCAACCTCTAGACCACTGAGGTGGCCGGCATCCAACGGTGTTAATGTCTAACCTCTAACCAGTTCGCGAAATCGCGCGACCATTTTCCATTTTATTGAGGTATATACTTGTCTCTACCCGACGCGGATCTGTGTAGGTTGAACAAGTAATATATAGCAGTATTGTTTGAATAATATTTTTTGGAATAATAGGTGACACTATAATTTCCTGGAGACCTTGAGAATGTCCAGTTACTTACTAATGCTAAATGAGGGTTTTAAATTAGTATGAAGAATTAAGATTAGGATTTGTAGTTGGACGTTAGTGTTAAGAATTAGAGTTAGGTTCTTTGTCACAAACTGACATCAGCAATAATTCCAAAATGCTACTTAACCATATGGATGGGTAAATTTCTCGCCAAAATTAAGCACCTTCTGTCTTAAACCTGATTTGTTCGTCCATAAATTATCGTCTCACCAAACAACTGAATAGCTCTTAAAATCCTGAATTCAAAACGCAATAAGATACTATTACTTTTGGCAATATAAGTAAATGTACTTTACAAACCTCAATTCATGAGGTCTATAAGGTACTCATATGTGTCAAGATTCAATCAGAGAAGAGGTACTTCCTACATTGATTACGTAATAATTATTTCTGAAAAAAACGTACGACAAATTAGGTAGCTTTGTCAATCCAACAATATGAACTAACAAATTGAAATGTGAACGTTTTTTCCTTTGCTGTAAAGAATAACCCGATTAATTAGGTCAAAGGTATTATCCCACTGTGATTTTACCGCTTTTCACCGATGTTTTATAAATAAACACTGTTTCCTAACTGTCTGATAACTCACTTCAAGATTGTCAGTATCTAGTTTACTTTTACCCAACACCATTGAGATAGATTCTGTGTTCAAAAATGAATAACGATTGCCTGAGTTACTGAATATTAGTAAGTAGTATAATTAATCCACAAAAGGAATGGAGATGGAAAAGGATTGAGGGTAATATATTTGCAAACAAAATGAAGAGCTATTACCAACATTACAATCTATTATTAATTGTATTTTATCAATTAAAAGTGGATAACTGTTGGGGAACAAACTTATCGATCGACTTTACTCAATCTGTGAGTTTAGTTAAAGCACAGTTGTTTTCCTGAAAAGAACATAAATGACAAGTTAACCGGGGTATTATTCTCTATTGACAGTTAAAAGAAGGCTAAACATAGGCATCGTTAACAAGAGCATATCTTTCAGCCAATGTAGTCGCAGTGTGAATAACAATATATTCCTTTGAGCACTCGAATATCGTTAAGTATCTTTTTTTATCTTACTTCCAGTTTTCATCATGATGATGATGATGTTGAGATTATTGAATTTCATTGGAATCAAGAATCAGTCAATGTTAGACCACCATTGAGAACCTGAAAACACTGGACGGCCGTTTCACCCCAGTATAGTGGTGGTCTAACATTGATCGGTTCATGGTTTCAATGAAATTACTTCCAATTGCTTGTATAAGTTTATGTGTATTTACCAAGGTAATTAGTTTGGTAGGGTCGAAAGTAAAGCCTAGCGTAGTATTCTACCTTACTTAAGAAGAAGGAAATCCTTCAGCAATGAAATTTATAAGCAGCTCGGCAACATCAGATAGCTTAAAGTGATTTCGAATCCCGGTTGTGTCTTATTGCCTGTGTTGGATGTATATGAGATATGAGTTAGTGATGTGCAGTATATGTTGGTATGTGTATGGGGCCAGGCCAATATAGTATTCGGCACAGTAGGTAGCGCATTCGGCCACCAGGGGTGAGGATGTTAATAGCTGGCTGGACTGGGCCTGCCCACGTCGACTGGGTAGGGGAAAACTCCCAAGCCTTGTCCAGTCGACTGCGACCACATTGGCTCGGCACCAATTTGGCAGATAGCGGCTCCCTCTTCATTGCTCTCTCATTCTCTATATCCTCCCTTGCACACACAATACACTCATTCACATTGTCCTTAACTTTATTACACTCAATCCGGTCATTATCCCAATATGATACACACATCAATTATTTCCATTTCCATCCGTCCTTTCATCCAGTCATCCAATGAGTCCGCATCAATTCCACTTCAGTTTCACCACATTTTATCAAACACTCGCCCGATCGTTCCACATACTCGTCACATCCTGCTTATCTCTTCACTCTACGATGACTATCTTCTCACTCATAGCATGCATAAAGTATTGAATTGGTTGATCAGCTGGAAGCTGTGATATATCCGTTTTATTATGGCCAACAAGTTTATCATACATACTACGAATCACTATCACCAGTGATATGTTGATTTTGCATGGATATTTTAGAAAAGGAATGAATATCCCCTGAAAATGGTGTATCGGTTTATTGATTAGATTTAAACTGAAATACCGATAATTGCACTAACTTGTATTCTTAACTGTAGTACGTGAAACTTGCTTGTTGAGTGAAAATTAGTGCTGGATGATGATGATAAATTAGTGAATATTTGTTGAAGAGATTCCGACATAACTTTACCTTGTTGAGGTATCCTGCATCGTTGTATCTCAACCGTAGCTGCCACCTTGACTTACGAGGTAGTGGGGCTTACCTATCATGATGAACATATCAAGTTTTATTGGCTGAAATATTTGTTTGTTTGGGCCCAACCATAACTGACAGGTCGATTGAATAGCGGCAAGGCTAAAAGCACCAAACATTAGGTCCGGAGACGAAGTCTGATTGTTGACCGTACAAGGATGTGACAACAGTATGGTGTTTCCTTCATATAATTAGCATCCATAACAACGCCACCTTAACACAATGGCATGAATGGGTTAGGAAAGGTCAGCGTTGTCATATCTCACCTTGCGTCACAGATATCCTTCGCGTGTTTTAAGGCTTTTGAAATGTGGAACTAATGCATCATGAACCTCTCTCAAAATTCCATATGTGACCTGCATTAAGCAGTTGTCTCTTTGGCTTAACAGTTACTCTCTTAAATCATCAATACCACAACTAATTCGGTTTCCTTCTCAAGGTAACTCAAGAGGATGTATTCCTCCGCGATTTTGGCGACCGGGCGGTAACATTCGCCCTCATATCTTTAACAACACTCGAGATCACTGACTGATCACTACACCTGCCTCTTTGGCACAATAAATTTTAACATTGGCGATCCAGTGGTTATGATATTTGACTTTCAGCCACTACTCTTCAATTTCCAACCCCACTCTACTTTGATTTAGGCAGTTACCATTTTCAATCAAGGAAAGTTTTTGCTTGTTGTCAAGCGTTCAATAAGTTGACTGTCTTATTAAATAAAAATCTTTATTCATGTATATGTATGTATTTAGGTAGATTTGGTGAAGATGTGATGAAACTGATGTCAATCCATTCGAATAGTATTCAACTGGAATCAACCTCCATTGATGGTGTTCCTGAAATTGGATTACTGGATATAATTTTGGGTCAGGTATTAACCTACTTCATTATATTATTATTATTATCATTATTAAAAATCATTTTTTCAAACTCACATAACAGTCCCCTATGATGTCATACCATTCATTCTATCGTTATGTGAGATCAACACCAACCGAGGATGTGCACTATTGCATGGATATTAATTTTCATCAAGTTATGAATCTTCATTAACGGATGTAGCTAAAACATGTGTTGCATTTATCTAATGTCAGCCTATGTCCACACATAATGTCAAGTGTACTGTAATGAATAGGTTGAAAAAAGCCAGGCGCGGCCAAACGAAGTTAATGTGATCAGTCTATGAATTTTATTGACTCCTGATATGAAACCATGTGAGTTCTGGTCTATTGGAAAAAAATAGTTAGAAACCCTTAGGCGATGTGGTTCACGGTTGGTTGTAGCGTGTTGTGTAACAGATAATTTGTCTCTTTTTGTCTATCCATCAAGAGTTTCAATATTATTCCACACTTTTTATTTCACGAGAATGTACCACAAAGTACTATTGAAATCCAGAAAGCACTACCCAGATGTTTTGTCGTAGTGCGAGGCTCCTAGACATTGGGCACCTACGACCTTATCTGAAATCAAAATGAGGATCTTTATGTTTAGAGAATTTCTTGAGTATTTTTCAAACATCCATTAACAACTGTTAAAGGTTAGTCCCTGTGATTATTTGACAAATCTTGTATATATTCTTGTGGAGTTTATAAAGAGGTTTATATATTTTTGTTGTTGATGATTTACATATTCTGACTGTGCTAATGTGGTATGGCAACTCGAACTGATGTATGTACGTACGAAGTTCTACGTTGTTACTGACTGACTGACATTCTGAGTACTAGATTTCATTACCTTATGTGTTTCATTTCTTTGAATATCAGTAGTCTACTTCTTTAAATCTTGTATTAATTCTTCTAGCTCTCATGGGATTTCAATCGATTAGAAGAGAATTTACGTAGTTATTTGGAATGTATTGAATCACAAAAGTCATCTAGAATTATAAGTAAGAAATGAATAGATTATATTGTTTCATCTTACGTTTTGTATTCGATGTAAAAAGATAAATTTAATTGTTTAAAGTCTTGCTTGATCACTGCCTTCTCGTGGCGGGGGTGTTGTTTACGAAATTGAAAGGACGAAAAGCGAACGTCCGGCGTTTTAACCGGATCCCTAACCAATGGTGCACATGGGCTCCACTATCCTGCGGGAACAAATGGCGTATGAACCAATTGTTGGTCACCGGCTTCCATGGGACTGTATCACCTCACAATGCTCCATTGCATTGTGGATCAGACCTTTAGGTCAAAGGCTCGGGGGTGGCCTCCTAAGAAAATCACCTGCTTCGGTCTGGGCACCCGGGAAGTATCCCAGCCCTCACACAAATCGAATGGTTTATGTGACGCATATCTATTTGGTGCCTCCTTGTACCAATGTTTATGTGTTTAAATAAATAATAAATTAAAGTCTTGCTTGATACTTGGATGCTTCATACTAGTTGGGATTCATCATTCAGTCACAACGTAGAAATTCGTACGTACGTACATCAGTTCAAGTTGCTATACCACATTAGCACAGAGATGCAGTTGTCGATTCAAATCCCATAGTGGTAGGGGTAGTAAAAGTATAAGCAGTAATCGGAAACATAAGGGTTTGAAAATGTTATTCATCGAGTACAAACCAGTGAAATAAATTTGGAAAGAGAAAAAAAGGAACATGAAGGACTCGGAAGATTAGAATTTTGGAGAACGCAAAGAGTAGGATTCATCAACAATAGATTTATCTGTATTGTGCATATTTCTCATATCCAAATGTCTAGTTTCATTAGTCATTTAATAGATTTCATAATATTACTACTTATTAAAGACAATGAATGTTGGTAAATAATAAACATCTATTTTGGCCTAGTTCAAGATTTGTTCGGCTAATAAAGTAAGTAATGAACCTTCATCGACTGAAGTATCGTCAACCACTTCATACTTCGACATACTATGTTTACTGGTGTAAAAGTAGGTTAAGGGAAATCTGGAGACGAATAAAGTAAAATGTGGTATGAAGTTCATGAAGTCATTGATAATTGAACAGAGTTGTATTGATAGGCTTAAACTATCTGGTTGAACTCTGCGCTCTTGTGAATGATCCCAGTGACATTTATCATTATTTATTTATTTATTTTAACACATAGATATTGGTACAAGGAGGCACCAAATACATATGCGCCACACAAATATCATTTTATATGTGTGAGGGCTGTGATACTGCCCGAGTGCCCAGACCGAAGCAGGTGGTTTTCTTAGGGGGCCACTCCCCGAGCCTTCGGCCTGAAGGTCTGATCCACAATGCAATGGAGCATCGTAAGGAGATGCAGTTCCATGGAAGCCGGTGACCAACAATTGGTTCATACGCCATTTGTTCCCTCAGGATACTGGAGCCCATGTGCACCATTGGTTTGGGATCCAGTTAAAGCGCCGGACATTCGCTTTTCGTCCTCTCATTTTCGTAAACAACACCCGTGGCACGAGAAGGCAGTGAGTAGGACTTCCCTGGCAGAGGCTATATACGCGTGGCCATGTGAGAGCATTTTGAGAGGGAGAGCGGACTCTCCCCACTCTCGGCCATACCAGGGCATTTGGGGCATCCCAGTGACAATTCAGTATTAACTCCAACCTAATTAGTAATTTTCAATAGGAGAGTCTGTAATGTGTTTATGTATTTCTTTAATACTCTTTTCAATTACAAACATTGTCACTAAACCTCCTGGTTAATCGAGTTGAATGATGCATTAAAGTTATGAAATACAACAACCTCTAATCTCTTACATGAATTATGAGTGCTATTATTTTGCTTTGTAAGCGTTAAAATCTCCGATGCAGTCTTGGTAGTAAAACTGTGTGTGCATAGTGATCGAGTGTGTGAGTATGTGATCTAATCCTAATTATTAATCAAAATGAATGTACAATCAATATATAAACCAGTGTATTTTAGACTATTGGGATTCATTCATCATCATCATTCATCGTCGTCATAGTGTTTTTAGGCTAATAAATCTCCACTTATACCAGTCTTGTGTTCTTACTTTCACATCGTGGGGATTGCCGAGGTCCGTCGTTCCGAGTATAAGTGATCAGCGTTTTTTTTTCGGCACAGCAATAAGCGACGACTAAATATAACAACATAACACTATCCTAATTTTGTAAATATGTATATATATATATACTTCACTTGTGTTTTTGTAAAACATTAATATCATTACTGTATGTGTTTTTTCGTTCTTTTTTTGTTGCGAAAAAAAAAAACCTTCTACAGATGAGTTCATTCAATCCGGTGAAATTCATTGTCCACCAACTGGTGAACGTTTTATTTTAGATATTTCTAAATATTGTTCTCTTGGTAACAAATCTAAAGCAAATCAACTTGTTGATGAAGGTGAAGAGGAAGAAGATGATCATGATCATGATCATGATGATACAATTGATATGATGAGTATACAAATAGAAAAACAACAAAATACAAATGAACTTGATATTTGAACCTCTTGTTATTAACTAATTAACACCTAATGTATGTGTACATATTATTATTAAAATACACTGATTGCCCAATTCTATTTAGTTTCTTTATCTTAAGAGCTATTTAAAGAACCAATATGATGTTATCCAGTTTATTTCATCGTCTGGAAATTTTCTAGACATGGTTATTTTATTTATTTGAACACATAAATATTGATACAAAGGGGCATCGGATACATATGAACCACACAAGTGTTTAAGGTGTGATACTGCTCGAACTCCCAAACCGAAGCAGGTGGTTTTCTTTTAGGGGTCACATCCGGAGCCTTGAACCTGAAGGTCCGATCCACAAGGTAGTGGAGCAACGTCAGAAGATGCATTCTCATGGTAGCTAATGACCAACAATTGGTTCATACACTATTTGTTCTATCAGGATCATGAAGTCCATGTGAACCATTAGTTTAGAATAAGTGTTTTCCAGTCCTCCTAGGTGAATCCTCCATATCCACCAAGCTGGTTAAAGCGCCGGACATTCGCTTTTCGTCCTCTCAATTTCGTAAACAACACGCTCACCGTGAGAAGGCAGTGAGTAGGACTTGCCTGTCAGTGGTTGTATGCACGTGGCCATGTGAGAGCATTTCGAGAGAGAGCTGACTCTCCCACTCTCGGCCGTACCATGGCATTTAGGGGCAAGTAGGAAATATCAAAAGCGGAAATCATAGAATGTACCAAAGAATAATCCAGTGTATAATAATGATTTATGTATTCGGTTGTTTCAATCATAATTGTCTATATGAATACTGGTAATATTATCCAATTCTTCAAAGTAAATGTATATAGATGTAAACTGTTAGTTCAGTAATTGAAAATTATATATTTTGCTTATCAGTCTTTTCATTCTTCATTATCATACAGAAATTTGAGATCATAATAAACAGTCCTTATGCTTAAAGCATACAACTAAAGATGGTTTCAAACTAAAACATTTTTATCTTAGTACCATTATCAAAAGAGGAACTATTAAGATGAGTTGTTAAGTACAAGGTAAACAATCTAACTTAATTGGAAAATAAAGCAAGCTAATTCATGTATTGCATACACTAAGCTACCGCTCAATAATGCGATAAAATGGTATATTTGAAGTAAGAAGATTTTATGAAAGGATTTAGAAGTTTGGATTGATGTTTCAACTCCAGTTACTGTTGTGACTTGTGGACTGCAGATTAGAGTGCAGCGTATTATCGATCGGATCAACGTCACGTACGAACGATCTAGAATCCTGATTGATCCCGCTTCCCTGTTTAGCCCAGCTAGTTGAGTCCAGAACGCAAGTCTCAGCCTCTGAGATATGAATCGTTATATTTCAAGCATACTCTGTTTATATACCAATCAAGCAGACCACATCGTACCGTAAAATAGAAAATAACATTTGACACGTGAAATAAGTATTGACCAGTAGGAAAATGACACGTGAAATAAATATTGACCAATAGGAAAATGATACCATCTCAAGTCCAAGAATGGCATTAGACTTAACAGGATAATTTCTTGGGATATTTTCTTGAATATCCCAACAGTTACTACCTATAAAATAGAACTAAATTATAAACGGGGTGGGGGAACACTAGTTTTGTGACTGGTTTCCATATATATCATAGTAACCTGTTGTTATATCTGTCGTGCTTAGTGAAAACACAAAAAACTACTGTTATGAATTTATTTGACTTTGAAAATAAATCAAAACACTACATGGATACGATGGTGGTTGGTGGTAATCGACAGGAAACCCTAAACCCGGGTTTCGTGCTACTTGGCACTCGTCAGCAAGATGTACCTGTAATCTTGAGGGAACTGGTGCTCCTTGGTGGATTCGATCCCGTGTTGGTCGATAGTACTCGATCTGCGCTAAATAAGGACTTGACACACATGACATTGATCACCACTCAGTGATCAATCAATTGTGACTACATGGATACATCAAAATTTATATGATTAATTAGTTTTGCGGTCAGATTAACATTTAGATTTCTGTATCATATAAATTGAATGATATTTAACACTAGTTAATCAATAACTTACCATTTGAATACATATTTACTAATCGACTATGCATAGTGACTAACTAATCCCTCTTGTTTGATTTTGTCATATCACAGATTTTGCAGTATGTGCTTTGATTTCAATTGTGATGAAATAAATGGATTAGTACATTCATGTTCTACATTATTCTTTCTTAACTAGATTTCAGAGAAAGATAGGCTTGAATGATAATTTTACTTAATACTTAACCTGAATATACATTCATGGTCGTTAGTATTTTGAGTGTTATGTGCTCTATACTTCTATCATGACTTGTCGTACGATCAATAGGTTATAGAATTTTCCAAACCTTCAATTTGAACAACAGAAGACCAGATAATTACTTTCGTGATTATATGATTAAAATACCAAGCAACAACGTATTATATTCACTTGGTGTTGTTTTACTCGTATCTTCCCATTGTTATTTAAGACTGCGATTGATCAATCTCATGTTAGCATATGTGCGGGTACATCCAGCTGATGAGCCTTAAATAGGCCGAAACACGCGTCCTGGATTCCACTGCTAGCCGCTATCCATTTTTCACAACGTATTATATTTCACAAATCTTAGTAAATACATTTATAAGTGAGTGTTTTTTGTCAAGATTGGTTAGCATCCAACAGAATATGCGCTTCATCTTAGTCGGGAGTCTTGAATGGAATGTACCTGTATTCCCGTCTTTATGTACACTCGGCGATTTGAACCTAGTATCTTTTGTTTCAAGATTCATACAGTTACAAATAAAATACATATCTGTTGCACAAAACAGTGGTTATCTGAACTAAATAGATCAGTGAATGATGTGATAGGTGTTTGAACCGAAAGATACTGGCTTCGAGTTTTTCACAGTAGTCTAGCTTCAACTGACTCATGATATCAACTATTGAAATTACTAAAATTTCCACAAAACCCCTTCTGATATGCTCAAATAGACTGATTAACTGTAGACCTTAATAGTAACAATGGGAACATTCACAAGCTTAAAAATAGGATAGATTTCATTAGGAAATTGAGTAACCCATCTATAATTAACTGATTGTCCTAAGTAAACCAGTTTTCTGACGGTTACTTTCTTATCAACTCTGTCGGCTTTTCGAAATTGATGTGTTCCCATTTTGTGTAGCTTTGTAGCTTTCAATAAATTTACTTATCATAGAAATTTCAATGTCTATGTTCATTGATTACTGAGTAGTTGAGTCCTTGGTTCTGACTGAATCTTATCGATTAATTTGTAACCTAACCACTAGTCTAAGTGACTGAACGTCTTGAGCACCATATTTTGACGTTAATTGGTTGTAAGAAGTCGAATGTTCTGCCTATTACCTTTAACCACACCATACAAAATATTCTGAAGTACTAAAATTTGAGTTTCCAACTCAGCTTTTAAGTTAATCTTCTTGCATTCCAAACCAATGTCTTACAGTTTTGAGGATTGATACAGATCTTATGTAATTAGAGACAGTCGACTGGAATCTCTGAAACTATCTTCTGTACTAGTTAAGATTCGACAGAAAGGTGTTTCTAAAGGCTTGAAAAAATCGATACTCCTTGTCGGATCCAAACTTATGTCACCTAATACAACAGTCAGACATATTGCAACTAAACTATTCAGGTCACGACAGACCTGTTGTAAGACTAAGGTGTTTACACCAATTGATCACCGTTTAATAGCCAACGGTACTCTTATCTAGTTCCTAGCGATTATCGAATTTCATCAATCAATATGCAATCGATGGGACTTTGGTTTAGTCAGCTCACTTTTCTTCACATTAGTTACTAATAATCCTATCAGATATTTTCAGAAGACTACTTTCAAGTTTTTATTGTAATATATTATGATAATTAGAAGTATTTGAATTATTCCGATAGCTAAGAATTCCCGATATAATGCAACTTATGACAAGTGGAATGGTTTGAATTATTTTTCTGGTTAGCGATTTTTTAGGGAGTTAGTTTTCTACCGGATGGGGTCGCTAACCCCATGCTCAACCCTCCTCCTTTACCCGGGCTTGGAATCGGCAGTAACTCTAGAAGAGCGGAGTTGTCGTCTATGCAAGATACTCAACATCCATCAGCAACACCCTACTGTGGAAGAGAACAAACCAGCTCACACCTGAAGAAGAAATTAGGAAAAGAAGATGGAAATGCATAAGACATACATTACGGAAATCACCAAACTGCATCACGAGACAAGCGCTAACTTGGGATCCTGAAGGGAAGAGGAGAAGAGGAAGGCCAAAGAACACGTTACGTTGAGAAATAGAAGCAAATATGAAAAGGATGAATAACAACTGGAAAGTATTGCCCATGACAGGGTTGAATGGCGAGTGCTGGTGTGCGGCCTATGCTCCTCTACGAGGAGTAACATGCGTAAGTAAGTAAGTATAAACAGTGGAACTACATGAGCACAAACGAACGTATTATATTTGGAATTCGTAATTAGCGGGTAATGATGTACAAAGTAATCATTAGTTCGTACAAATACTACATGTATTCATTGGAAGTTGTTGAAATCTACATGTTTTTCTGAGGCTAAATACTATGAGATTATAGTTTGTGAACAAGACAATCAAGTTTAAGATATCCGGATTTTGATTTTAGAGCGAAATTCACCTATTCATGTGGCTAAATAACATTTTAGCATTATTGCTAGTATTAGTTTGTGATGAAAACTCTCACTCTAATTCTTAACCCTAATATTCAATTGTAAGTCCTAATCTTAATTGTCTACAGTAATTTATAACCCTCATTTAGTTATAATAAACAGCTGGACATCCTCAAGATTACTTAAACACTGATCAAAGATCGTTCATAAAATTATGTTCATACACCATAGTAACTTATCTTTCAGGGTGATCACTGGTAGATAATCAGTTCTATTTCACAAAAAAAATACCCCCTAAACTGTTATTGAATGTTTACCACTTTTAAGCATAACAGTTACATACACAGTTACATTATCGAAAAATACTATCTTGAACAACTTTTATCATCAAGACTCATCATTAACTGA